CCACGTTGATTTGATTATATGGATAACATCCGCGCGCGCATGAGTTTTCGGCCGTTTAACCCTACCTAGACCGGGGGGGGGGCTCGTCACTGAATGACATCCAGTAAATTTCTAGCGGAGACCAATCAGAGGGCTGCTGAATAATTTGAATAATTTATCAAGGTCCACGGACGCGGTTCTTTCACTTGTAAAGTACCACGGAGCCGGTGGCACACGACTGGGAAAACATGTATTTCACACCCATTGTTCGTCGGTATAAAGCGCTTATACATTACAAAGAGAATTTTCGTAGGACTGCCATTTCTTTAGTTTGCAGTATGTGTATTGAGAACATTCGAACGGGTATCTTCATAATTCTGCTGGCTGTTTGTAGAACAACGGCACAATAAAACAGTTTTTTCAGTACCATCACGACTTGGCAGATAACACGCAATGAAGCCCACTTTTTACGCAGATTATAGCACTGCGTAATGTTACACAAACTAACAGTAGATGTTTTAAGGAATTCACAGAAATGGCAATGATAAATAATGTAACGCATAAACATTATACAGCACAAAATGAAGAGTAACAGTAATGTAGTCGTGTTTGGCAGGGTATGGCAAGTTATAGTGCGTACATCTATCGGTAAGTTGACAGCAACAAGCAAGATGCATAGGTTCTATTACTTTTGTAGCTCACTTGCGTCCAAATTTGGGACGAACCCATGTTACTTTTTCGTCGCAGTTTTGCATGTAGTGGTATGGTTGATTCGGCAGCCTTTCCGCTAACGCAAACATAGTTTGAGGTTCCACAGTTCTTACAACGTTAGCGCTTGAAGTTGCTGTGGTGTTCTCCAAGTTTGTTGGTCTGGTGATGTTGTCTTTGTTGGCTTGTTGTCTGTCATTTTCCTCCATTTTTATGTTTGGTGGCCCGACTTCAATGGGTTGGGTTTGCTTCACAAATCTCGGCTTCGCTAAGATCTTTTCCTCCCGTAGTGGTCGCTCCATTAGCGCTAGTGCAGCCACATTTGAATCTGTAAAACTTCATGTCTACACGCCCGTTTCGATTTGTTCATCTAAGTAGATTTTACTAACGTATGATTTTACAAACTAATTTTGGAAGTACTAGTACTTAGTACTGAAGTAAACAAGAAACAATTACGCACTCTGGTTGAGTTCATGGCATTTACATTTTACAAACTAATTGTGGAAGTACTAGTACTTAGTACTGAAGTAAACAAGAAACAATTACGCGCTCTGGTTGAGTTCATGGCATTTACATGAAACAAGGTGCTAATAGTCGCTAGTCGGTGACCTGTCAGCAGCCCTCTGATTGGTCCCCGCTAGAAATCTACTGGATGTCGTATAGTGTACACGGGGGGGTTGGTGCAAAGCCTTTAAAAATTTGAAGTTGAAATGGGACGTTCTGAGGCTACTTGAGGGGGAAATTTGAACTCTTGTGTTTTTTCACTAAAAAACAAACAACTATAATGTAGCCTGGTTGCATAAAACACCATTCAAGCATTTCATATTTCCCTTAGGCCACACCAATTTAATTTGTTGTTTCTTGGATTCGCCCTGTCGCTCCAGATCAAGATTGCAACATTGGGTTTGCCACAAGCTCATTTAACCTTTCACATGGGAACATTGCAACACATTCATCAAACTGCTACATGAAGGGCAAATGCCAGGAATATGTGCATGCCTAGAGGGGCCCAAGTGAGTACCCTCAGCACCGCATGTACAAAAATAGTGTAAAATGTCTTGATGTTGGGAACTGTTACATTTTTGCAGCTGGATGTTATAGGTAAGGGTTATTTGTATTTGATTATGTAACAAAAATGGATTTTGGGCCATGTTTGGGGTGTCCATGTCGCAAAAGAAGTCCTGAGTTTGGCTACCATCATCAGTGACAGATCTAGAGGTCAAAGGGCAATTCTGAAAGTTTGGCTTAGCGTTCAGATGCCTTTAGCAATGTAGAATACATGTATTTTTATATTAACAAAATGGACAGTTTAGAGGCCGAGTTACCCTATGAATGTGTGTTTTTGGTGCAGTTTCACTCAGGCAGGTGACTTTTCACACCTTCTTTCTGACGTTTTCCATGCATTTGAATGGGACAGTCCATTACCAGTCTTTGCCCTACAAACTACATATAGTTTGCAATGCTAGAATACATTGTTATGTGGTCTTGCTTGTATGTTTTTACTGGAAAAAGATCATTTTGGGAAAGACTAAATGTTGTTAAAGTAGCAACCAAGGCTTCAATCTGAAAATTGATATGAGGGTGCTGGCTTGTTACATGAGGGCGAAGCACCCCTGGTGTACATGGCTCATGGACCCTTTTTAATGCTCTGGATACATTGTCTTGTGATTATAAATAGAAATCACACATGTACAGTATCTCCTAAATATTTGTTTCTTCAAGTTATAACTTACACCCCGCAAAAGTTACACCCCGCAAAATGTCCACCCAATACTTGAGGCTCAGGTATTGAGTGCTACACCACAGGAAACATGTCTAAAGAGGTTCCCCTGCATATCTGCTGAGTTTCTGTGATGCACAAGTTATTTTTTTTTACTTTCCTTATGATTATTTACAGCACAACGCATTCCGGTGGCTCGACATGAACAAACAAGACGATAGACCCTGTTCTGCGGGGCATACGGCATGCCATAAAAAACAGGTAAAAACATTTAGAATTGCAGTGATAATTGCACAGACAATATATCCATAGTGTTACAAAGGATTTTAACCTATGTACACTCCACATTAGACCAGAAGCGGTCGGTTGAGGTATTTTGTCATACCGCTGTGTTACAATAATGTATTTTTGAATTTTTTGTTGAGATACATTGTAAGACTGTCATTTAGTGGAGAATATGATCAACTGATATAATTATTAGCATAATCAATGAAAACTTATAATTTGTCAGTTGGAAACTTTCAGTTAACATAATTAGGCAAAGACATGAGCTTAAGCAACACAGGACTGAGGTTAATTACTAAGTCTTAAGTGTCAAATTGTTCAGGTACAGGTACAACAACACAAATTTAGACATGTTCATGTATCACCAATCCCCCCCCCCACCTTTGAAAAACACACACCTTTATCCAGGCTTCAGCAATAGTCTTTTGAAAGGTTATACCCGAACGAATGGCATCCAGAATCAGTGCCTCACTGCCACGGCAAGACCTGCGAGTACAGAGGGTGGAAGAATCAAAAGATACTAATTACAGTAAAAGTTAATAAAAAGTTGCAAGACTAAGGATACAATGTCAAAAAACAATCAATATCATGGCTCCTGATATTAATACTGGTAGATGGCAAAATGACAAATGTGGAATATTACAAACGTCTCATACATGCATACATACGTACATACATACGTTACAAACGTCTCATACATACACACATATGTACATACATACATACATGCGTACGTATGCTACAAACGTCTCTACTCTATACATACATACATACATACATACATACATACATATAGTGGAGGGTGTTCAGTAGTGTAGATGGTATCTAAAGTTGTGACTAACTTCTCAGCTGCAGCTCCCCTCTCTGCAGACAGCCCTGGTGTCAGGTCCAGCTGGTCCCGTAATTCCTGCACCACCTAACCAAGAATGGCAACTGCAGCTCACTTTGTCTGTGAATTTCTTACTTTTATTTATTCAGTGCAAAGCACAGGTACATGTATGCATGGTCTTTAAGTTGATTGTACTTCTCAATAAAACCTCAGAAACAGTTACAAAGACAACATATCATGTACATGTATAATGAACTTACTTGTACTTACTTGAGTAGGTCTCCTCATCTACGTGTATAATGAACACAGTTGAAAAATTCATCTGCATTTAACTTAAGTTATCAATTTTACAAACAGTTTAATATTTGATGGTAATCTGAAACTGTGCTACAACATGTAACTTAGAATAAGCTACATAGTTATGTATAGTTATGGTCAATTTAAAAGTCTGCTTGGATCTAAAAATGTTGTATATTTTGAGTTGTATAATTATACATGTACATGTTCTGAGCCAAACCCTGAAGTATGAGCTGAAAGAGTTTTAATAAGGTAATGCAAATTCAATCCTGATTTCAATCCTGATTTCAACTGAATTACAATTGTGCATGGGGCTCTGCATGTCAACTATTCTGTTCTGGTCTGTGTACTAGGCACATGCACTTGATGCTGTACCAGACTGAGTGTGTAGTTCAAGAGAAGCCAAACTTAGATTGGGGAAGTTTCAGATTTTCATTCAGAGAAGTAATATATGAAAAGTACCTCCACAACATCAAAGGCACTGACAGACTGGAGCAGAAATTTCACCACCACAGGTAAGTCCTGCAGCTCCAATCTGGGAACCTTCTGCAGGACAGACAGCCGTATCTGCAGCAAAGAATTAACATCATGAGAGGAGCTGTGCACCTGATACTAATACAATGTATGTACGCATATACGTGTATCTGGGCACCTAACCTGGCAAAAATAAAACATTAGCGGACACTTAACACCTGTACAAAAATGTAAATTGCATCTCAAAGATGGAAATTTAGTCAACAATTTACCACTTAAAACATTAGTTGGTGAGATGCATGACTAACAATGGCTGACCAAACTTGTTTAACTACAAGTATAATTGTATTATTTACCTTTGCCAAGGTTATGTTTTTGTTGAGGATAATAATGAGGAATATTAAATGGGAAAATACTCACAATATTTTCATAATCAAGGTAACTGCCAGAAATCTCATACTTGTGGCATCAGGAAGGTGGACATCTTAAAACGTATCTTAAGAATGTCCATACTTCAATCAGGAATGTAGAATAATGACAGTGAATTTAAGTTACCTGATAAAAATTACACAAAACACAGATCAAGCTTATAATTAAATGAAACATTTGTGAAAAATGAAACTTAACTTCAGAGAAAATGCAAATACTGAGAGAAATTTGCGTGTTTTATTTTGTTTCTGTTAGAAAATAAAGGGGTATACACTAGCCATCTGATACAAGTTGAGCTGAGAAAGTTAAGCTTAAACTAGAAAGGCCAATATTTGCTTAGGAGCAAATACAGCGATGGCTTCACCACATTTTACGACACGGTAGGGAAAGAATGAGAAACACAAGGGAAAACAATGATTTACATTGATATAACTATAATATGAAGTAACATACAACTAAAACAACAGTTGGATAGCTATTCCCTACTTTATTGGTTAGGATTTTTAATTGCATAATGCAAACTGTTGACTTTCAAAATAAAAAAAAACGTTCATGCCCCGCATTCCAATGCTGGAGCAGGAAAGCTTGAAATACCTACCAAAACACTTGAATACAGACATACTGTCAGTATGAAAATGCTCTGTGCAGGTGTTAATCAAGTTAAATCCCAACAGCCAATCAGCAAGAAATGCTCTGTGCAGGTGGAAATGCTCTGTGCAAGTGTTAATCAAGTTAAATCCCAACAGCCAATCAGCAAGAAGAATAGAGGAAAGCTGCATGCCTATTGGTTGATGCCCTGCATTCCATTGTGATGACTCATGCCCAAACGTGGTACACAGCACAGTAATACATTTGCTATAACACAGCCAAAAAGCTCAAATAAAACCATTCTAAAAGCCTGTATCACCAAAATTTAAAAAACGCCTGGGGGTATTTGCCCACTGTACCTCCATACCAAATTTCAGGTCCTTAGGCCCCAAAATAAAGAAGCTGAATCCATTTAAAAAATGGCAGGAGAAGAAGAAGGAGGAGGAGAAGAAACATCAGAAAAAGCAATATGGTTTCATTCGTGGTGTGGTGAAGCCATAAAAATAAATGCGAAACTATGGAAAGTGAGAGTAACCTGGGAGCCAGGATGACAGAAATTGAAGATCAAAATTTAATAAGCATTCACTAGACATGACAGAGAGGACAGATAATGTGTGCATGTGATGTAGTTTTCATATCTGGCAAAAAAAACCAACTGGTTGAGATAAAATAACACATTAGATTGGAGCTACATGTGTGTGCCATGCTACAATTTAGAGATACAATGTACATGCTAATTTGTTCAATGTAATAGAATTAGAAACTGTAATAAACTAGAGAGGCCGACATTTGCTTGGGAGCAAATACAGCATATTTCAGCCCATCTCCCTCCCACGCAAAAGTGGACTATTCCAAACTTACCCGAGTGTAAAACTGGCAAAGATGCTCAAATAAATGAATTATATAGTAGCTACATGTATGTAATTGAGAACAAAGATGCAAGAACAAGCACATTGAATCTCGAAAGCTTTACTAATCTTATTACAGGTATGCAAATACTAACAAGGATGAGATTTGATACATTTTGAAGGTCTTAGGCACATGAAATTGAATGTGTGGGTCATTACGCACGAAGGTGCAATGTGACCTCAGGTAACCCGCAATGGAATACGGTGTTCCATGGATGGAACCGAACATTCTTTAGATAGAACATGGAACGGGTATAGCACTTTTGGCCCTTTTTTTGCTGAAAATAGCCATTAAAGTCCCCCAAATGAGTCATTTGGAAGTGGTGTGTGCCAAATACATGACTGCTATTCTGTAGACACATGTTCAGAGAAGGGGCTGCACGAGCAACCTCCATGGAGGTTGCTCGTACAGCCCTCCGCGATACCCCCGCAGAGCTCCGCGACAAAACAGCTCAATTCGCTGGTTGTCGTCACTGTTGAGTTTTGCTTTAAAATCTTTGAACTCTGCGTTCAAAACAAGTCAATTCGATGGCTGGCGTCAGTTTTGTATAGAGCTTCGTAGATTTTGAGTCAGTTCAATGTGACTACTAGTACTAGACTTTGTAACGTACCAAGGGCTCTCCCAAACAAACAAAACTTCGCAGAGCTCCATGGAGGTGCTCGCGCAGCTCGCTCTGGCTCCGTGGTCATAAAGTAATTTCCAAGCAGATATTTTAGTGGGGGTAAGACAGTATCAAATTGGCCAGTCTGTGTCCATTTCCCCACCCAAGGTTGGGGAAATGGTTACAGACTGGCCAATTTGATACTGTCTTACCCCCACCAAAATATCTGCTTGGAGATTAGTCATAAAGCACGCACAGAGCTCGGCGACAAAACAAGTCAATTCTCTGGTTGTCGTCACTGTTGAGTTTTGCTTTTAAATCTATCACCTCTGCGTTCAAAACAAACCAATTCAGTTTTGTATAGAGCTCAGTGGATTTTAAGCTAGTTCAGTGTGACTACTCGTGCAGGGGCTCTCCCAAGCAAACAAAACTTAGCAGAGTTCATAGAGGTTCTTGGACAGCCCTAGCTCCGTCAGTAATATATATATTGTTGATGTTTATTGCAAATTCATGCCCGAGGGCTAATTGCATACAGACATTAACAAGAAAAATGTGGTGATATAAGACTATTTGCTAACAACTTCTACGTGTACGATATACTTATCGAACCTACTATCTCTACTTAACCTAATAAAATATAAAGCATGAAGAGCTCTGGGTTCAAAACAAGTCAATTCGATGGCTGGGGTCGCAGGTTCAGTTTTGCACTCTTTTGACTTTTGGATTATCACGTTCACACCTAGTTCACAACTGTGCATGGCTTGTTTTGTGTGCGGGTGGCCGTCTCGATTAGGGCGGATGTTGGTTGTAAAATACAGGACAATAGGTGCCACCCTGCATGATCGATCACACAACAAAATTCTGGGAAAAAGCATGTTTGTTTGGACTTATTTGTTTTCTATGGAGCAAATATGTTGTCTCTCTGAATATTGTTCCTGTATACTAAAGGTTTAACGAATTAACTTGTCTGGTCACAGAGCTGTTTGTGACAACTCTCGGAGGGCTATTTTAGCAGCTCCGCGGCTAATTTCCGTCTCGTAAACGGTCGCCGCCTTTTAAAACGGTCGATGCCATATCGCAGAACGGCTAACTTTATGTGTATCAGAATGGTCCATCCACACCGTGATGTTTTGTGGCGTAGAGGTTAGGGTAACGGGTTTAGGTTATGGTTTTAGAGTTTAGACCCGGGTTTGAATCTCAGCTTGCCCTTTTTTTACTAACATTTACAATTCGACATGACCTTCCCTTATACTTCCAATTAGAATATTGCTTTTTATAGTGTATATCACTTTTTATTCGTTTTTTGACCCCCAAAAAAGTTATCATACGCTTCTACACCTAGTAGAAACTCCTTGCTCGGATATGGCATCGACCAGCCGAATGGCATCGACCGTTTACGAGACGGAAAATTGCAGCTCCGCGGTTGGAGCTCCGTAGACTATTTTCTTAATTTGTCGCAGGTTACAGAGCCCTTTATATAGTGAATTAAAGACCTTTATTGTACAACGAATTAACTTATTTTGTCGCAGAGCTCTGCTGGGATATCGCGAATCCGAGGATCTCTATACAAAACTGACGCGAGCCATCGATTTGGCTTGTTTTGAACGCAGACCTAAAAAAATTTAAAGCAAAACTCAACAGTGACGACAACCAGCGAATTGACTTGTTTTGTCGCGGAGCTCTGTATGCTTTATAACCGTCGGAACCCGCAGAGCTCTGCGCCAAAAGAAGTCAATTCGTTGGTTGGCGTCACGGTTCAGTTTTGCTTTCACCTCTTTGCGCTCTGCGCTCAAAACAGTCAATTCGTCATGGCTGTCGACACAGGTTCAGTTTTGTATAGAGCTCTGAAGATATCAAGTTAATTGAATATGACTATTAGGCTGAACAGCCAGTACTCTGTCACAAATAAAGACTTCGTC